AGTCTTTCTCCCATCAAAAGATGGAATTTACTTTTCTACCTCTTGAATTTAAATTTAACTATGAACCTTGCTTTGGCTAACGGGAAATGAGAAAAAAGACACAAGCAGAGGTGTAAAAGCTGCTTGTTCTTGTTTCTCTTGGGAACCCCCCCCAGAATACCATGGAGAGAAGCATGGACTAGCACATGGGAGAGGAGAGATCATGTGGACCAGACACAGGTGGTCCCAGCTGGGGCCCTAGCCATACCAACCAGTCTGGCAACCCCTGGATACATGAGTGAGGCCATCATGGAGTACCCAGCTTCAGGCATACCAGCATAGAGCAGAGGAATTCTCCAGCAAATCTAGAGACGAGTGAAAAATAATAATAAGCTGTTAATTTTGGGGTTATGTGGCAAAAGCCAATGAATGTAAATATCCATGAAGGAGTGTGGGGATATGGGTTTCTTGAATAATAGAAAGATGTGGGTAGAGCCATTTCTCTGAGACATCTGGGCATTTTTTCCCTAGATGAGGGTGAGGTTGTGCTCATGCAAAGCTTGGTTCAAGGAACTCCAATATTTGTAAATATTTGGAACAAATAAATCGTTACTGTAAGTATGTCTGGAATCAAGGTGTAAGCCCTAAAAATTAGACTTGTGGCATTAATAATTATTTTCTCAACTCTTCTCTAGCTCCTGGACAGTTATCACTGAAAGAAGATAGCTAGAAATTAGCTAGAGATTAGTGATTGCTAATTAGAGATTAGCAATGTCCTCCACTATCCATTCCTTCATTCTTTTAGTAGCAGAACTATGAGTTTAACTGGGCCCATAGCTGCTCATCTCGAAATTACATTTTCCAGCCTTCTTTGCTGCTAAGAAGGAGGATGTCAGGAGATTTACGATGAAGCCAATGAAGCTTGACTTCAGGACCCTTCCTTGCAAGACCCAATTCTCAGGCCTAGGAGAGGGCCTCTCAATATATTTGCCATATTTTATGCTTTGGTGTTTTGTTTTTTAAGTTTTCAAAATTTGCAAGAGTATGATATCATATTAGGTTGCCTATCTCTTTACCTTCCAGCTTTCTCTCTGTATACTTTTCTTTGTGTTGGCTGTGATGGGGTGGCCACAGGATGTTGTTGGGAATCTGGGGGAGCAGAGTTGGGATTCCTTTATGTTTTGTGAGAAATATATATGTGTGTGTGCAGTAATTTTATTGGAGAGCTAAGTTATTGTTAGCTGTCTCAAGAGTAGGAGTGGCTTCCAGGGGTACATCTACTTCCCATGCACCATCTCTGCAGTCACACCAAGGGACTGGGCTAGGAGGGCTATCACAATATGAGTGTGTCCTCTAGTGCGTGACACTGGAAGTGTGTGGGTAGTGAAGGAGAAATAAGGCTTGAAGTATGCAGAGCCAGAACTATACGGTGGAAAGGTCTTTCAGTGATAAGATTGGAATCAGAAGTGTTTCAGTTAGCTAGTTAAAGTGGAAGTTCTCTCCCTTCTGGGATGTAATAGCTTACACAAAATGTACAATTATAAACACACAATATATTTTTCTTAGTTTGATGAGACTTGCATGAAATTGAATTAATCAGAACTCCTCTGTTTGTGGGGAATGAATCTTCAACAGTTCTACAGATAGTATATTTGTGTCTTAAGTTACATGTTTTGCACATTCCAGTGTATCATGTTGCCCAACATTGACATTACCAGTAATGGATTATAAACTGAAAGAAATTTCTCTAATCTATCAACAGTAAAATACAAATTTTGATAATCTAGGCTAGAGGAAATTATTTTTCTATTCTCATTATAAAATGATATAGAATTATTGTCATGCCATAATCAAAACATAGGATCAAAAATATTGGAAAATAGTATAAAGCTACAATGGGCAATTAATATCAGTATTTTTCTACATTTTTGATATTTGTATAATTTTATAGCTTTTAAAAATTGATATATTCTTTATTCATTCTAAACAAATAAATGCTATATCTAATTTCATAGTTTATAGATTTTCAAAAATCTAATATTCTTTGTCCATTCCAAGTAAATATTAACTTTTATATATCATTCTGTGTTTGTAATTTTGTGATCCTTTCCATAAAGAATTTCCTGCCCCTCTCTCCTACCCAATTATATATAAGTCTCAGATTCTACAAAGCTTGGATCTTCCCCTGGAGCATGGGACTAACTTCTGGTCAATAGGAAAGGAATAGAAGGGAGGACCTTACATGACATCAGAGAGAGACATCCTTTAAAACATATTTTTCCTTCTACCCTGAACTTGAATGATGGCATGGTAGTGATATGATGGTTAATTTTAAGTGTCAACTTGATTGGGCTGTGGGTTGCCCAGATATCTGGTTAAACATTTTTCTGGGTGTGTGCAAGGGTGTTTCTGGATGATATGAACATTTGGATCAGGAGATGAGTAGAGCAGACCACTCTTGCCAGTGTTAGGGTGGGAGTTGGGGCTCATCCAATCCCTTGAAGGCCTGAATAAAACAAAAAGGCAAAGTATGAGAAAAATCACTCTCTCTGCTTGACTGTCTTTGAGCTAGGACATTGGCTTTGTCCTACCTTGGGACTGACTTGGACTGGACCATAGGCCGTTAGCTCACCTGATTCTCAGGCCTTTGGACCCTGACTGGAACTGTAGCATCAGTTCTCCTGTGTCTGCAGCTTACTGACTCTCAACTCTATGGCTTCTCAGCTTCTATAAACATACGAGCCAGTTCCTTTTCATCTCTTTCTCTCTTTCAAAGAATTATAAAATAATGCTCTTACCCTTAGGGAGCTAATATTTTAATGAGGGAGAAAGGATACTTGTAATTATACTTAATTTCCCAAAATGGCAATTTCAGTAAGAGCAGTATTAATACTGATTAATTCAGTTTTAGTAGGAAGTGAGCAGTGTTTCATAAAGGAAACAAAAAATAATGCAAAAGTTCTATATGACTTTAGAATGTATCAAATTGCTTTTTCTCCAAGATCACATTGAAATCATTTTTACTGTAGGCACATTCTTGTGGAACAGGGAGGAGGGTATAGACATTACCTCTAAGGCAGAAGCCTGCTCTTTGAGGTGTGGAAAACTGCCATAAAGTGTTCTAGTAGTTACTTAGTGTTAACTTACTTGCCTCAATGATAGCTATTTTTACTAAAGCTTGCCCATTCAAGTGCCATTGCTAAGCCTCAATCAACCAAATATGATACAAAGTAACTAGCTTAAAGTTACAATGTTTTCTTTCCTATTTTGTGGAGGAGAAAAACAATTCTTACTAGAATCACCTCTAGATTGGTGGCCTCCTCACATTTCCTGAAATAGAAGAAAAGCTGTGTCAACACACTGTTTTGAACCCAGCTGTTAAACTCATACATCCTTCTCTTTCTTCCCTGTGATATTGAGGTCAGTAATTCTAATCAAGAAACATTCATTGAGCAACTTCTATATAAATAAAATAAGGCAACCTGCTATACAGGCCCAAGTGATAAAGAAGTTTTTAAGCTACAGGATAAATGTGTATAGTATAAAATAGACTTAGTATATTTTATATACTAAGTGTATAGTATAAAATAGACTTGATATAGTATAAAATTAGGTTTAAATCAAATCCTGTGGGTCTGCCACAGAAGAGGGTACTAATTTTGAGTTGAGAGGGGTACAGTTATATATTCACCCAGCAACTTGGCATATAAATTGGCCTTGGAGGATATACTTGTTAGGGCTGCCTAAAAAATAAGTAAGTAAATAACAGAGTGGATGGCTTGAAGCAGACACATTTAATCTTTTTGAGGAAAGAGACTGAGTATAAGGTATCATCAGTGCAAGCTCCCTCTGAAGCCTCTAGAAGATCCTTTCTGGCTTTTCCAACCTCTGGGAGCCCCAGGCTTTCCTTAGCTTGTGGTGGCATTGCTCCAGTCTCTGCCTCTGCCTTCACATGGCTGTCTCCTCCCTGTGTGCCCACCTGCACATGGCATCCTCCTTCCTCTGCATTTTCCTGTAAGAACACCACTCCAACTGGAGTGGGACCCACCCTAATTGAGTTGCCCTGTGTTCATTGGTACATTTCTCGTTCCTTTCCTTTGTTTTTATTATCTTTTTTTCCTGCTTGCTTCCCCTAACAGTTTGTACCATGTGGTTGGCTTCTGGTTAGCCTGATATGCAGGAAGCTCTTCCTGAGTGTATCAGTTAAAGTTTTCAGGACCATGAACAGAGACAATCATAGGCTCAAGTGTAACTGGACTGTGCGTCCCTGAAGCTTGGGGACCATGCCTTGTTGATCTCTAACTTGTTTAGCTTTTTGCAATATCATTTTAATCATCTCTAAAATGGACACCATGTAAACAACAGATACCTCTAAGGACCCTAGACAAGTGCTGCCTCCTTAGTGTCTTAGTGCTCCTGGTTAGTCACTAGTTGGTATGTGTCTGAATAAAAGAACAAATGTGTGCCTCGGTGTACAACAGCTATCCAGGAGACAGAGGCTGGGAATTTCTGGAGTTGGTATAATGGCTGGTAGAGTTTGCACAGGCAACAAAGGTAACAAAGTCCACGAGATAAACTTGGATAAGAGTGAACTGAAGGTGAAATGAACGAAACGTTAGTAAGAAAGCACCTAACAACACCCAGCTGCTATAAAGGAGAGCCCCCTAGCTGTAGAGAATTGCAACCCAGACTCCTAAGAGAAATGGCAATTGAACTAAGTGTTGTTTGAGGAATTCTGAGGAACAGAGAACTTGGGGTGAATCAGAGTTGGGTAAATTTATTGCTGATTTTACAAAAGAAGCTTCCATCCACTGTCACACTCACCCACACTTGGAAGACAAGGCAAAGACTAGGCCTGACTAGTCGACCAGTAGGTGCACAATGAGCCACTTTTAGATTTAGACAGTTTATTTACTTAAAAACCGCAGGTCAAGAAGAGTGAGTCAAAGGCGACAGCTCCTGGCCCTGCACACGGACAAGGATGACACCAAAGCAAGAGGGAAGCGATTGCAGACTAGCGGCGGGGTGGCCTGTGTCTGAGTCGTGTGTGCTTCGTCCGAACCCAGGAGGTGATCACAAACCATCGCATAACATCCTTCCCGGGAAGCAGGGTGGTGCGTTTAGAAGCCTCTCATCCTCTCTCCACTTCAGGATGCGGTCCCACCAGGACTAGGTAAGCTGCAATTCAAGTTTTGCTTATACAGATACTGCAGGATCACCAGGACAGAGCTATTTCCCTACACAAATCAGTAACCTTGGATGGATGCAGAGAAAAATCTTAAACAGATTATTGACGGGATATGGGATGATTTGTGAATATCTAATGTGAGAATGAGCTGATGCTGTGATACTCACAAGGTAAAATCTAATATAAATGTAGGTATAATTATGACTTTTGTTACAGGAAACTGACCTTCCAAATCAGGTGCAGAGGAGACCTGGTTTAGCAGAACTCTCCAGAAAAAACAACAACAAATGCAGAGGTCAGGTTAATATGAATGTATTATGATCCGACACCAAAAAAAGAAGGGGCTGTTAGTTTCCACTATGAGGATGCGTGTCGCACGCTATGGCAGGGGTAGGCTTAGTCTAACCCATGTGCAGGGACTTTGAGGGCACAGAGTTTAGGTGACAGATTGAAACTAGATCAAGGAAGAAGTAAAGGTTTCTTAGTCTAGAGGGCAACTGAGGTTTATTAGTATTAAGTGAAGCCCTACTATGTGCTAGATACTGTGTTAAGTGCTTTACATGAATTATGAATTAAAGGCTCACAATGCCATATGGAGTAATTACCATTATTATCCTTATTTTTCATGTGAGATGGAAAGCATCAGCATAAATAGCTGCCCCAGGTTAGACATGTTGCTAAATAGTGCCTGCAATGGGATTTGAACCCAAGGGGGTTGACCTCAGGTCCATTCTCCTAACCCTTACATTAAAATATCTCACTGCAATTTTCTGATATTTGAAGGTATTTAATGAACTGGGATTATGGGCTGAATTGTGTCATCCTCCCCCAAATTCACATGTCGAAGACCTGATCCCAGTGTAACTGTATTTGGAAATAAGCCATTTAAAGCAGTAATTGAGGAGAAAAAGGGTCATAAGGTCATAGTACTATTCCAATCCAATAGTACCAGTCTCTGCCAGCAGTGAATGCACACAGAGAAAAGACCATGTGAAGACAAAGTGAGAAAATCTGCAAGCCAAGGACAGAACTTGAGGATAAATTCAAGATCAACACCTTGATCTTGGAATGCCAGCCTCGAGAGCTGTGAGAAAATGTATTTCTCTTATTCCAGCCACCATGCCTGTGGTATTTTGTTATAGCAGCCCCAGCAGATGAATGGAAGACATTAGATTCATTTCATATTCAGGAAGTACTGAGCTGAGAGTACAGGATAGAGGAGCTCCTTTGGAACTTTTTTTTTTAAGAAGAAAATTGCAACTTTATTTTGTCTTTAGTTTAATCAAACTATGCTGTTTCTTTGTTTCAAAAATCACCATAAAAAATACAAATGGTTGTTTCTGAGAATTTTAACTTTTGGAAACTTAAATTTCCAAAGAAATTTCAGGGAAAAAGCAAAAATTTGCCTGCCGCATTTCACACAAGTGGGTAGAAAAAAAGATTTAGAATCTTGAGAATGGGTACATACCTCAAAATGGAGACTGTGTAGAGCTTATACATGTCAGAGGGGGAGAAAACAGAAAACAGGACAGCTGCCTCTGAAGCTGTTATCAGATGGTAACTTAGGTTAAAGCAGAATATGGAGACTTGCTCCCCTCCCACCCACCCCCCTTTTTTTTTGGCTTATAATACATAACCTTAATAGGAAAACCAGATTTTATTTTTCTTTCTTTGTATTTAGGATAACACAATTTCTCCCTTTACTTTTTAAGGAGCTGAGATATGGAAATTCTTTCCAGTTGGCTTTATAAGCTTCCCAGATGTAAGTTTGGGTGCAGATGTTTGACCTTGAGCCCTTTGATTCCCCACATGGGCTGCAGTTCCCCTGGGGAAGGTCACTAAGGGTTCTTGTCTGGGCACCTCTTACCTGAGATTTGCCTTGGAGACAAGAGGTGCTTTTTGCAAAAGCACAAGAGTAACTCCTGCCTCTTCCTTGTAGTAGTGTTTATGAATTAAGAATTTTTAGAATTAAAAACTATACAGTAAAGGATACTAAGAAAGTTTTCATTCTGTGTTTCATTCACCATTTTCCTAAGAAATTAAATTATCATTGGGAAAAGTGATTTAAAAAAGATCAACTGTCTCTCTACAGGCTTTGGCATACTGTAGGATGGTAAACCCCCACCTAAAAAAATCTACTCTCTAAAATTCCAAGCTTTCCAAAAATACTAAAAATGTCTTTTCCACTACAAACTGTAGCCCCCAATAGTAGATTCTGATGCAAAACCTAGTAGTAGGTTTTGTGGACTTCTGTGACTCTCTGTGTCACAAAAGAGCCAACATGGTAACATAAACTAAGCTTATTAAACCTACACAGAAGAGGGAAATGGTTATGTTTAAATGGCAGCATCCATTTGGCATTGGATTATGTGACACATACTGAAAAAGTAACATCGTTTGCCCATTGTTGGAAACTCTCAGACATCATTCAGTTTGGAAGCCTTTCTTTGCCTGTGAAAAGGCAAGGCTGTCTCTATTAGTCTTACTTGTCATAACAAAGATGATACTTGTCTTCATGCTGCCCTAACTGGACATGACCAACATGTTCATGAAACTGGAGGAGAAACAAAATTTAACTCTACACAAATCTGTACAACAACTAAGAAAAGTACGACCAACTAGTGTTACAGATGCATAATTGGTGACATTAATGAGTAATTACAGATAAGTCTAAAAATATTTTAAAATTAGCAAGTGGCAGAATCAATGTTCACCTGTGAGGAAAGTGTATCAGTAGATTCCATTAAGCCAAGACAATGAAAAGGGATGATTCATGCAGTAATAGGACAAAAACATTACCCCTAACCTTATCTAGATAGAGTTACTCTTTGAGTGAGAAGGGTTTAGATATTTACAACAGCTCCTAAAAATTGCTATATATGTTTGCATAATGTAAACAGTAACTTTCCATTAACTATCGAGTAGATGATAGTTTGTTCTATATCCCAAGTTCAACTCTTTTCAACTAATCCTTGTGTTGGTTTTCAAAATCGCAAATCAGTAAATCCTTCAGTGATTAAGGGAGGTATATCAACTGTGTAGTCACAAACTGACCATTTGGCCAATGGCTGGTCTGCAGGATGGATGAAACCAGGTGAATGTCCTTCTCTACAGGTATCACCTGAGCAAAGTGTGCATACCAGGACACAGCCATACATTGTCCTGGCTTGTTTGTCTCTGATCTGTGTTTCTTAAAGTGTGGTGGGCCATCATCTATACCGGAGTTCCCAGAGAGGCTTGTTCAAAACACATTCTGGGTCTGTGCCCAGACGTAATGAATCAGAATCTCTGGGGATGTCCAGGAATCTACATTTTAAAGATACATTTAGCTGCTTTGAATGAGCAAACTAGAAATAGAGAACTACTGTTTTAGAAATTGCCAACATTAAGGGGAATGGATTTTATATAGAAATTCAGTGGGAAACCAAAAGATAATGACCAGTTTTTAATATTTCCTCAGTAACTCTTCTTTCTATGTATATCCATAGATGATTCTCTCAGGAAAGCTTCATTTGAATGTTGAGAACATTTATAGTATATTTATGGAAGTAATTATAATTACCTACCTGAGTACCCATATGACATAACCGTACTGTATATCTGCAGATGATTTTCAAATTACTCAAAGAATGTGTAAAGCACTTATTTAAAAACTTAATTGAAATTATACAACAGAGACAAATCTATTTTGTCAATTCCCATGTTTCTCCATGTACATAACATCCACCTACACACTTTCATAGCAAGTTTTATGTGGTTTGTAAATCATCAGTGTAAATCAGGGTAATTAATGTGATTAGTTACTGTCACTTCACTCAGAATCTAACAGAAAATGTTCTCAGTATGATTGCCCTCACCAGACACCAACAATTATACATTGTGCTTTTGTGGCTGGACCAATATAGGACTCAAAGAATCTTGATTTTTGATTCGCTGGCTTGTATGAAGTAATCTTTCTCTACAAGGTAATAATACAAAATAGTACCTATTTTTGAAATACTATCCAAAAATATTGTTGTTTTAATTAGGAGAAATAGTATCTTCAGCAAAACTAAGAACATTATATCCTTAAAGTATGGTGTGATGATTAACAGTGTAGATTTTGGAACTGGACTAAATATTTTAGTTCTGCTACATCTTATGAGTAGATTTGGGCAAAATATTTAACTTCTCTATACTTCAGTTTTCTTATCTGTAGAATGGAAAAAATAATTGCACCTCTTTAATTGGCTTGTGTGATGATCACGTAAGTTGTGTATATATAAAGGCTGAGACCAATGTCTGGCACATAGTAAGCATTCAATAAAGTTAGCCATTATTATTATTAATCTATTTGATAGCATGCCAGAATTATGCCTCAGGTAATTAATCTGTTTTTGGTATAGTTTTCTAATCCTCTTTATTCTTAGTATCGTGAGGGTTCTTTTTGTTACAGATGTAATTGGCAATTATATAGTTTCAGTTGTATAATATAATGATTTGATATTTGTATATATTTCAAAATGATCACCTCAATAAGTCCAGTTAACATCCATTACCACACAGTTACAATTTTTTTTCTTGTGAAGAGAACGTGTTTCAAGATCCACTCTCCTAGCTACTTTCAAATATGCAATACATTATTATTAACTACAGTCACTGTGTTGTCCATTACATCCCATGACTCACTCATTCTATAACTGGATATCGGTACCTTTTGGCACTGTTCACAGGTTTGCCCCACCTCCCACCCTGGGCAGCCATTAATCTGTTCTCTGTATCTCTTGAGGATTCCTTTTTGACTCCCTCAGCAGACACCAGTGACAAAAAGATTCAGAGTAACTTGAATGCTAAGCAGAGTCTTGGATCTTTTTTTTTTTTCCCATAGACCATAAAACTGAGCGCTTGCGGTTGGGAAAAGGGAAGAGGAAGGGCAGAGTGACGGCTCTGGAGAGAGAGAACCGGAAGATGGGACTAGGAGACCCCAGAGCAGAAGGGAAAGGAAATGCCC